CAGATTAATCCAGAATATTAATCCAAATTATTTCAGATTAATCCAGAATATTCCAGATTTTTCCTATTAGTCCAGTTTATGAATCCAGGTGACTTCAGATTAATCCAGATTATTAATCCAGATCATTTCAGTTTAATCCAGTTTATGAATCCAGGTGACTTCAGATTAATCCAGATTATTAATCCAGATCATTTCAGTTTAATCCAGTTTATGAATCCAGATGATTTCAGATGAATCCAGATTATGAATCCAGATTATTTCTGATTATGAATCCAGATTATTTCAGATTATGAATGCAGATTATTTCAGATTAGCCTGGTCTACCTGCGACACACGGGCGTTCTTGATGCTGATGGGGGTGTGCTGAACCCCCTTCAGTCCAAACAGCTCCACCACGTCCATGGGTTCCTGGGGGACAAACAGGACTCAGGGTTTTAAAGCAGAACCTGGCCCGCTCCAGACCGGAACCAGGACCAAACAGAACCGGTACCTCGTAGTATCCGTCGATGAAGACGGTGATGACCTGAGGGTTGACGCCGTGAGCGGAGAGCAGCGAGCGCAGCATCCTGAACACACAACACGGGTTACTGGGTCACAGTCAAACCACCTGTGCAGGTTCTGTCCAGAGGAACCCGGCAGCTACTGGCTTGGTTCTGGTTCTGGTTCTGGTCTCACCGGTACAGATAGTTGGGTCTGTTTCCTGCGATGACGGCTACCGGAACATTCAACACGTTGTTGTTGGGAAGCTGTGAGGAAACAGAGCAGGGATGTTGGGCCGGTCCTCTCTCTGATCTGGGTTCAGGAGGACCGGTCCAGGTCCAGAATCAGAACCAGCAGCAGTTCTTACCGGGTCGGGGTTGAACTCTATGGGTGCGGGGTCTTTGCAGCTGCAGATGCTCCCGTAGCCCTCCACCTTGCTGCAGAACAGCTTCCTCCTGCGGTTCAGCTCGGTGTCGGCCCAGTGGCACTCTGCCTCTGCAGAACATCCAGACCCAACAGAACCTGACTCACAGTTCTGGTCCAGACCCAACAGAACCTGACTCACAGTTCTGGTCCAGACCCAACAGAACCTGACTCACAGTTCTGGTCCAGACCCAACAGAACCTGACAGGGTTAGG